CCCGCCACCCCCTCGGCCTGCCCCTTCGCCGACCCGCCTCCGGCCCCGGAGGTGCCCCCGCCACCCCTGCCCGCCTTCCCGGACTCGGCCGCCGCCTGCCCGCTGGTCTTCAGGGTGGACCCCTTCACGGACTACGGCTCGTCCCTCACCGTCTTCTTGCCCTCCTCCCTGGAGCCCCACCAGCCTTTCCAGGTCGTCGTCCGCTACACCACCAGCGACGCGCCGGCGGTAAGTACCCCTTGGCCGCCAGTCGCCGGGGTTGACCACGAAAAGTGGGTTTTTGGGGGGGTCACGCTCAGAGGATTGTTTGCAGCAAAGGTGTTTGGGGTCCTGGTGGGACAGACCAGCGGTGTGTCCAGCCCAGCAATTGCCGTGAGCGGCTGGATGCCTCCGGGAAGCCTGCGAGGTAGACGGGAGGGGCAAAGCCCCCTTTCGCCCCCCTATCGGCAGCCACTGTTCAGAGGGAGGCTGCCTCTGCCAGTGTTTTCATTTTGCGCTCGTGGGTAAAAACCAATGACGGACCTGCCGTCCATGACTTTGGTAGGAGCACGGACTCTAATCTGGGAGAACCGGGTTTGAGTCACCACTCCTCCACATGCAGCTGCTGGTGTGACCTTGGGTCAGTCACAAGTTCTCTCAGAGCTGTTCTCTCAAGGGCAGTTCTCTAGGGAGCTCTCTCAGCCCCACCTGCCTCACAGGTGTCTGTTGTGGGGAGGGGAAAGGAAAGGGGTCGTAAGCCGCTCTGAGACTCCTTTGGGTAGTGAAGGGTAGGGTATAAATCCAATCATCTCCTCCTCCTCCTCCTCCTCCTCCTCTTTCTTCTTTCTTCTTTCTATTGGCCCTTCCTACAGCTTGTGGCCATTAGTTCCGTAAGGTAATTATATGTGGTGTGAAGTGCTTCCTCCGTCTACCGCTTGGCACTTTAATTGCCAAAAGTTGGACTGAGGCTGTGCAAAGACCGGCTGCTGAAGGGCGTTACGGTGTCATTCGATTCAACAAGAGTTCAAATTGCTGTCGTCTGACTTAGCTGTTTTTCAGTTTTGAAACTGTGCTGGTGGAAGAGGGGATGGGTTTGAATATTTATTTACCTTGCCGTTCTCCCCCCCCCCGTGGGTATCCCGAAGTTGCTTGCAGCATTCTCCCCTCCTCACAACAACCCAGTGAGGTAGGTCAGTCTCAGAGCATGCGGCCAGTCCAAGGTCACCCAGTGAGCTTCTACGGCAGAGTGCGGATTCGAACTTGGGCCTCCCAGAGCCCAGTCCAACTCTACCCACTACACCGCATAGTCATACCTCAAGCAGGCTAAAGTGTGACAAGAGGTTTGGACTGCGGCCTCTCCCAGGAGAGCCAGTTTGGTGCAGCGGCTAGGGGCGCGGACTCTCATCTGGGAGAACCAGGTTTGAATCCCCACGCCTCCACATGCAGCTGCTGGTGTGACTTTGGGTCAGTCACAGGTTCTCTCAGAGCTGTTCTCTCAAGGGCAGTTCTGTCAAGAGCTCTCTCAGCCCCACCTTCCTCACAGGGTGTCTGTTGTGCGGAGGGGAAGGGAAGGGAGATTGTAAGCCGCTCTGCGACTCCTTTGGATAGTGAAGGGCGGGACACAAATCCAATCTCTTCCTCTTCTCTCCCGCATTCTTTCCCAGTACTTTTTTAAACACCAGGGACTGCAGAGAGAGAAGAAGAGATTGGATTTATACCCCGCCCTTCACTACCCGAAGGTGTCTCAGAGTGGCTTACAAACTCCTTTCCCTCCCCCTCCCCACAACAGACACCCTGGGAGGGAGGCGGGGCTGAGAGAGCTCTGACAGAAACTGATCTTTTCCAAGAAATGCTCTTATCAGAACTGTGGCTTGCCCAAGGTCATCCAGCAGGTGCAAGTGGAGGAGTGGGGAATCAAACCCGGTTCTCCCAGATTAGAGTCCACGCACTTAACCACTGCACCAAACTGACTCTTGATGGGAAAGTCAGTATTGGAAGACTGTCTTTCTTGAGAGCCTGCCTGTGTGAATTTTAGCAATCTTCCCCCACCCCAGGATAATGCTGGGGTACTTATGGGGCATGCACTCCTCTCACATGGGGCTATGCTTGGCTGGGACCTTGTATGAACTAGGAACGTGCCCCAAATCTTCTGTAGTATACAGACAATTCCCCGGTTGGCTGACTTACTTGGACAAGTTTTCACTAAGGGCTTATCTTACCACCTTGGCCTCTGGCCCTGAGCGTTTTGCCGCATACCTGCAGGAAATGGCTTCTTGAACTTCTGCATCAACTCTTATCAAGGCTACCTGGGAGGCAATGTTCCCGCTAAGCTGTGGAGTCCTGTGAGCAAAAATTCTACTTTGTGAGCTGCTGGCATTAAAGTTGTGAGCGAGCGATTTGGCTACTGCATGAATTAGCTTGCTCTGGAGCCCTCCTTCCTGAGCTGAGACAAAAACGTGTGAGCCGGAGGCTAAAAACCTGTGAGCTAGCTCACACTAACTCAGCTTAGAGGGAGCACTGCCTGGGAGACCCAGGTTGGAATCCCGGCTTGTGCCATGGAAGCTCGCTGGACCTTGGGCTAGTTATGCACTTGCGGTCTAACCTACCTCACAGGGTTGTTGAGGTAGGTTTTCATCCAGTTTGGTGTAGTGCTAAGGAGCGCGGACTCTAATCTGGAAGAACCGGGTTTGATTCCCCACTCCTCCACTTGCAGCTGCTGGTATGACCTTGGGTCAGTCACGAGTTCTCTCAGAGCTGTTCTCTCAGGAGCAGTCCTCGAAAGAGCTCTCTCAGGCCCACCTGCCTCACAGGGTGTCTGTTGTGGGGAGGGGGAAGGGAAAGGAGATTGTAAGCCGCTCTGAGACACCTTTCGGTAGTGAAGGGCGGGGTATAGATCCAATCTCTTCTCTCTCTTCTCTTCTAATTAAAAAAAAATCAAAATAAGGATAGATTCAAGTGGGTAGCCGTGTTGGTCTGAAGCAAGAACGAAGTTGGGAGTCCAGTCGCACCTTTAAGGCCAACGAAGTTTTATTTTCGGTATACGCTTTTGTATGCATGCATCTGAAAAAGTGTGCGTGCCCAGAATTAAAATGTGTTGCCCTTAAAGGAGCCACTGGACTCAAACTTCGTTCTAAAAATAAGGATGTGTGTGGTATTTTTTTGAAACCAAACAGTTGCCTTGCTGCTAGACCCCTTGAGGTTGGAAGGCAGCTAGTGGTTAAGAGCACGGACGCTAATCTGGGAGAACCGGGTTCGATTCCCCACTCCTCCACTTGCAGCTGCTGGATGACCTTGGGCAAGCCATAGTTCTGATGAGAGCTGTCCTTGAAAAAAGAGCAGTTTCTGTCAGAGCTCTCTCAGCCCCACCGACCTCACAGGGTGTCTGTTGTGGGGAGGGGAAGGGAAAGGAGTTTGTAAGCCGCTGTGAGACTCCCTCGGGTAGTGAAGGGCGGGATGTAAATCCAATCTCTTCTTCTTCTTAAAGTTCTAACGTGGTCGAACTGGCAGTCCTTTCTAGAGAGGAAGACTTACCTCTGAAGAAGAGTTGCCTTTGTTTGCAATGCTTCAGGACCTATTTTTTAAGTTTATTTCACTTGTGCGCTACTTTCCCTCTTGGGAAACTCAAGTTTGCAACATTCTCCCTGTCTCCATTTTATCATCACAACAATCCTTTGAGGTAGGTTAGGCTGAGAGTGGATGACAGGCTCAGACTTACCCAGCAAGTTTTGCGGTTGGAACCGGTTCCAGCACCTGGGTCTTTGGGGAGGGGGGTTTCCTGGGGGGTGGTGGTCAGAGAGTTGCACGAAATTGCGAACCGTGTGGAGGGAAGGAACAGAACAGAAATGACGCACTCCAAACGCTAGGAAATCTTCCCGTTCTGGTCGGTCCATCGAAACTGATTCGGCGGTGAGGTACAGGTCGGCCGAAAGGAAAAATGTATTTACACGATGCGTCGTTTGACTGTGGAATTCATTGGCACAATTTGTGACGATCACCCGTTGCTCATGTGGCATCGAATATAAAGGTGACGCCCTCCCATGGGCAGCCCAGGCAAGCTCGATCTCATCAGATCTCAGAAGCTAAGCAGGGCTGACCCTGGAAAGTACTTGGATGGAAGACCTCCAAGGAATACCAGGGCTGCGATGCACAGGCAGGAAATATCAACGCCACCTCTCTGAAGCGTCCAAGCCCCGATAGGGGTCTCCAGAAATCAAACATGACTCCCATGCGCGCACACACACACCAAAAAATATAGAGGTGACCAATTCCTGAGGGATCTGACAGTCTCTATTAGTCATCAGCTGTCTTCCCTCTAAGCTGAGTTAGTGTGAGCTAGCTCTCGGGGGGGTTTTAGCCTCCAGCTCACACATTTTTTGTCTTGGCTCAGGAAGAGCAACCTAAGAGCCAGTCTGGCGTAGTGGTGAAGTGTGCGGACTCTAATTTGGGAGAACCGGGTTTGATTCCGCACGCCTCCACTTGCACCAGGCTGGAGGACCTTGGGCAAGCCGTAGTTCTGATAAGAGCTGTCCTTGAAAAAGAGCCATTTCTGTCAGAGCTCTCTCAGCCCCGCCTACCTCCCAGGGTGTCTGTTGTGGGGAGGAGAAGGGAAAAGGAGTTTGTGAGCCGCGGGTTATAAATCCAATCTCTTCTCCTTCTCTTCTAATTTATGCAGTAGCCAAATTGCTCGCTCACAACTTTAATGACAGTAGCTCACAAAGTAGCATTTTTGCTCACAAGACTACTTAGAGCATTGAGAACAGAGAATAGAACATTCAGTTCCAGGGGCAGTATACCTCTTTATTGTTGCTTGTCCCGGGTGCCATTGTGTTCTTGAGAGCTCTTGACCAATGTTCCCTCTAAGCTGTGGAGTCTTGTGAGCAAAAATTCTCCTTTGTGAGCTGCTGGCATTCAAGTTGTGAGCGAGCAATTTGGCTGCTGCACAAATTAGTTTGCTCCGGAGCCCTCCTTTCTGAGTTAAGGCAAAAATGTGTGAGCCAGAGGCTAAAAAACTGTGAGCTGGCTCACCCTAACTCAGCTCAGAGGGAACACTGCTCTCGACTGTACTGGATTCGGTGGATCTTTGGTCTGATCGAAGCAGGTAATTCTTCTGTTAAAAACATTTTGATGCTCCCCCCTCCCATAGTTACTGTGATCTACTGAACCTTTCTTTTATAAAGTCGCATCCTGCTATATTTTGCTTGGTTTCCTGCTCCGTGAGTTTAGGACGTCTCAGTGTTGCCGTGGCCCCG